ATGCTTGAGTACGAAAGGTTGAGATGCTTCAACTTGGGGCATCCGATGACCGTACCAGGCTTGGGAATGTTGGCAGCAGGACGGGTTTGTTGCTTCTGGTTCCGACCTCTGGCGTTTGAACTCGAGATAACCACTTGCTTGTTTTGTGGCGGCGGTGGCGGGGGTTCAGGCACCACCCATCCAACAACCCTGGCCAGGAGGTTATCACCAACTTTCCTACAGTTGCTCCAGTCCACCTCCTCGAGATCTTTGGCGTTTTCGGCCATTTCCAGAATCTGATTAGCCGACACGTCCCACACGGATCTCATTCTCCATCGCTTCACATTGCGTCCGCATTGCTCCCAGAGCGATTTGAACCCTTCGTCGGTCAGATGGAAGCAATTGCTGATATCAATCATTTCCGGTCGGTTGCCCAAAAAGGGCCCAATGACAGTCCTGACGTTATGATCCGTCACCCTCCGGTTATACGGGGAGAGATCAGCATTAATGCACACTCCCGGGTCCTTCTCGATCACCTTGCGCCAGTGCGTTGACACGACCCGAAGTCGGACCAGCTCGCCCACGCTCATCAACTGCAGAGCACTGACCAGAATCTTGTCTGGCAGAGATGGTGTTTGCATCGAAAGTGGTCGGTGGGGGAGGATCCTGGCTCGTTTCGGCGGCACTTCTTCAGAGTCTGATGGCCACTGCGGGATGCCAAATCGGATCGGAGTCGTGTCGAGCGGTTGATACCTCCCATTCAATACATTAGGTGACGGTGCATCGGGTTGCGGCGTCGGTGGCGCGAGGGAATTTCTCCGCCGGGTTTCGTAAATTCTCCATGTTGACACTCAGATAAGGGTCGGGATCTTTGGGTTCCATGGTTTCTCCGCCATCTTCTCTTGTTGGTGACGTAGGTTTTGAGGGTGTGGTGAACGTGACGTGAGGAAGGACTTTTGGAGTTGTAGGCGTCGGAGGATCAGACTTACTTCGTTGCTGTTCCATGTTGACATCATTCATATCCACATCTTCATCCGTCTTTCTGTATCGCTTTCGAGCTGTCTCCTCAACCTGCAACTTGATGTCGGGAGGACACATCTTCCAGAGCTCTTCCAGAGCATCGCCGTCGATCATGAGACACTCAACAGTCGTGATTGAACGTACAGAGGCAGTTCGACCCTCGGAGAGGCCCAGACTGGCCACTTCTCCAAAGTACTGTCCTGCCTTTAACCGCGGGGTAATGTACGATCCTCTAGGCATCTTCCTGAATGGGTCCTCTGATTTGGCAGGCTCACGTACCACTTCAGCCTCACCGCGAACAATGAAGAAGATGTCGTTGCCGGGAGCGCCCTGACGTACTATGTCGGTAAAAGGTGAATATGTTTTGGGTTGGGCGCTCAGTCCGAGAAAGTGCAAAATGTCGGAGGGTAGGGTCGAGAAAAGAGGAAATTCTTTGAGCGTCTTGCGCACATTAACGAAGCCGCTTCCAAGGGCACTGCCGGCAGCAGGGTCCTCGATGGCGCCTGGGCTCGGCGACTTCCGTTTTTTGGAGTTGTGAACAGATCCTTCTTTGATCATGCCCACCTCGCCCGTGGACACCTCGCCAGGTACAGGCTCTCTCGAAATACTTGTACCTATGGGAGGAGACTTGTCGGAGTGGCTACTTTCCTTTCGTTTCTTCTTGAGGATGTTGAGCCTCTCTTGAGCCTCCTGGCGAATAGCCTGCTCCATTTCAGGGAAACGTGGCAGCTCAGTCTGTAGATCCTCCTTCTTTAGAACGACGAGCAGACACTTTGTCCGCGCGACTATTGACGCAGTACGAGGGACGTCCATGAGCACGCCAATCTCGCCAAAGAAGGAACCTGCCTTGAGTTCGGCAAAGACAGCTTCACCATCACGCGAGGTAACGGCAACGACGCCACGCACGATCCAGTACATGGCTCTGGCATCTTCACCTTCGTGAAGGATGGTATCTTGGGCTGCATGGACCTGCGGCCTCAGATGGTTGCCAATGGCGGCGAGAAAGTCTTCTGAGGCAGACTGGAACAATGGGAAAGATCTGATCCGATCGACTAGGTCAAGCGGCATGTCGCGAATGGTTGAAGCCGTCAATGGGGAGGGGCGCACCGGTCTAGTCGGTGTGGCTTCGACATTGAAAGATCTGATTAATGACATGGAGTCAGGAATCCCCCCTGCGCCGTGTCCGCCGCCATTCTGGTTTGACAGCGCCCGGTACGGCGAAGGAGAAGACCCCGAACGATGTCTCCTCATGTTGCGGAGGGGATTTCGCGGTCGCGGCCGTGGCGAGGCCAGATTCAAGGATGTGATATGCCGTCGGATTGGTCCTCACCCTTGGTAGGGCGAAGGGCCAGGGCTCGGACGGACTGGATTGGTTGGGTTCGGGAACAGACTGCGTCGGCCTGCGATGCTGCTCTGTTACGATCGTCTGTCGTTTAGACGCTATAAGCTTACGATGCTGCTTCGTCGGGGTGACTCGGCTCTTGGGTATCCAGGTTGCTGGTACCGGTGATCGGGAGAAAGGCCGGGCGGGGGTGATGCATGCTCACGCACCTCTGCCAAGGGTTGGAAGAGTCCGCCCCACGAGAGAGCGGCTGCTGGATGACGCGGGTATTGTGGTGCTGTTGATCGGTTGATCCAATATCGAGCCGTCTTCACGGTCGCTTCTCGTGTTCTCGTGTTCTTATAGCTGAATATGAGGAGTGGCGGTGGTGCTTGGT